CTTGACCCAGTGTGCGAGTCTCTGGCTCTATCACTGTGGGGCAAGACTGGCAGAGACAGAACTGCCAGTACCCTAGAGCTGGCACTTTGCAACTCGTTAGAGGGACGACTGATTTGTTTTATCAGCTCTTTATCTCCCTATCTAAATATCTGTAGGCGTGTGGTGGTATTTTCTAGATAAATACTTTAATCTGGGCTAGTTTCAGTCCCATAGAGAATAGGTTAGGGAATTTGTCTTTTTTTCTTTAAATTTAGTTATGAGGGAGGTTGTTGCTCCTGCCTTTGCTGTGGTTGAGGTGCAGATGCATTGATGCTTTCGGGACATTGTTACTCCTGCACCTCACAGAAAACAAGAACCTAATTCTTTTCTTCTGTGCATGTTCCCTTAGGTGTTTGCAGATTAAAACCAGTGCTAAAGTGCAAGCTTTCATTGGTGAACAAGTGTTGCTGAAATGCTCATTCAAATCTACTCATCCCATCACTGAGAGCCTGATGGTAGACTGGACATACCGACCCCTCTCTGGAGGCCATATGGAGACTGTGAGTGGAACCCAGAGTCTTTTTCTGCTAAGACTGACCAGACTCCTGTGCCTGCTGAAAATCTGATGATACTTTTTCTGTTTGCCTTGCTGTGCTGCTTCATCACTTTGGGGCTTGGGACTTCTATCACTACATTTCCCACATGACGTTGCTTTAGCGTTTTTTTTTTTGTGTGCTGTGCTGCTTCATCACTTCAGGGCTTGGGACTTTTATCACTACATTTCCCACGTGACGTTGCTTTAGCGTTTTTTTTTTGGGAAAAAAAATTGTTCTCTGTAAATGCCTAACAGTGTAATGGTGAAAAAGTAGATGATAGACTTTGGGCTTTGACCCAAGTGCTGCATTGTATGCTGCCACTAGGTGTGGAATGATTGCAAAGCATTGGATCAGTGGCTTTCTTGGAGGCAGCTGTGCTCTATCAGCTCTGTCGTGCAGTCTGATCTACCTTGGCATGGTTAAGAACATGTGCAGTGACAGTCTGAAGACAGTGATGGTGACAGCCTCTAAGGTTTATGGGCTGCTACTTGCTGTTTTGTTGGCAGCATTTTGAAATCTAAGCATAAACACATAAGTCTGAAAGCCTTCTGGAAATGGCTCATTCAAGGTGGGAACAGAAAATGCATATCTTTATGGCTCATCAGTGACTTCTGCTGCCCAAAGCGTTTGAACTCTTAGGAGCACCCTTGTATGTGGAACAAAATGGTGCTGCTTGTATGAAGTGAGATCTGCTGAGTCTCTACTCACAGGACAGCAAGAGCAAAGTGCAAGAAGCAAATGCTGCAGAACTGCAGTGTGTTGTCTTGCATGAGGCAAGAAGCCTGCTCTTCTTCTCAGCTGCAGATCTGCAGAAGAGAACAAGCTGGTCAGAATGGCAGTGATGACTTTTGAAAGCTGAGGCTGCTAGATAAAAGCATTAGAGAACTAATGAAATGGGACTGACTCAGAATTTTAAAATTGGAACTTCAAAAGGTCTCCTGTATAAGAAGTGTTCCTTCTGACCTCTTAATATGTATCCCTTTATGTTTACAATCTCAAAAGTAGTTTGCTTTCTTAGATGAGTGTGTTATTGGCATAATTCTTGTCTTTGCCTCCTTTTAGATTTTTCACTATCAGTCTGTTCCATACCCAACAACAGTGGGAAAGTTCAAAGACAGGATATCCTGGGCTGGGAACGTCGCCAAGGGCGACGCTTCCATCGCTATCCGCAGCCCGGTGACGAGCGACAACGGGACCTTCATCTGCAGCGTGAAGAACCCCCCGGACGTGTACCACAACATCCCCCAGACCACGCTGGTCGTGACGGAGCGGGGTACGCCCCCGGGGCACCCGCCTGCCCTCGGCGAGGGGACAGAGCTACCCTGCAGCTGAGAAGTGTTATCTGGGGCAGGGGGGACGGAGGAAGCTGCGGTGATAACGGAAATCTAAGGCGTGCGTTTGTTTGGGAGTTCTGGTCCCTACTCACTGCAGCAGGACAGCAAGGGAAACATTTGGGAAATGCCGGTCTAAAAATAACTGTCATGTCACAAACTCTAATTCTAGTAATACTTAATTTCCTCATCTGCCCTGCGTGTGAGACCTGCTCCGAACTGGAGCTTAGACCTGCTGATAGAACTATGCTGTGACCTGCTTGCTTTTGTAGTTTTTGCATGCAAAGCACTATGCTTTGTGATATGTGATAGGAGTCCTAGAGGTTCAGTGACAAGCTGTTTGAAACCTGCCAGCTCTGTGACAAGGCTAGCAGCCCGTGTCCTGGAGCAGGCTGGGCACGGAGACTCTGAAAGCCATACCTCAGCACTGGTACAGCTGCTCTTTGTCTTTCCTGCAGGCCTTTCCTTCCAGCTAACGTCAGCAGTGCTGCTCTCCATTTTAGTGTTTCTCCCTTCCTTCATTGTGGTTGTTCTGCTCTTGGTAAGGATGGGAAGGAAATATGGAGTGCTAAAGGAGAAGAAAAAATCTGGCTGCAAGAAGTCTTCCATTGAAGTGTCTGATGAGTAAGTGCTGGCTGGAACCTAAAGCCTGTATTTCTACTTTGGCCTGTTGGTGCAAGCCAAGGGACAGTTTCTGCCCTGTGCTTCATTTTATAGCTCTCAGCATCTGCAGTTGGGTCACTGAAATCTACTTCTCCATGAGCTCAATTTAGCAAGTGGTCAGAAAGCTTTGGGAAGTTCCCACGTTGGAGCATCAACTAAGTGCTGTACATCCTCCTTTTTTCTATAGTTCACTTGAGACTGTGTAGAACTGAAGCAGTTTAGGGTTAGACAGTCTTTCACTTCTGTAATTCACTCTTTCAGCTTACATCAGCAAGATATTTTGCTTATGCAGGCTTTATTTGTTGCATTTGGGTATGAAGTATCCGAAATAACAAACCAGACTGAATAATGCTGCCTGGTTCCTCTGTGACGACCTGAGCAGAGATGCTGGGTACTGAATGAGCCTTGGAGACTGAGTTCCCTTCTGAACTGGAGAGGATTCTGTTTTGGAAGGGTTCAGTAGTGAGAGAATAAGGTAACGTGGCTGCTCGTGGAGCTGCACCTGGTTTGCAATGGCTGCAGTGCTCCAGTTTCTTGCAGAATGGGTTTTCAATACAGTGTTCAGAGTGGTGCAGGATTAGCCAGCCAAATAGCAGCTCTTGTATTCTCCATGGTGCTGAAGCAAAACGTCTGCTTTCAAAATCAGGGAGCTGACAGTCTTTATTCTGTTTGGTTTTGCAGTGTAGAGTCAAATGATGAAAAGGCTTCAGTTCAATGTGGTAGAACTAGAATTCACAGTCCATTGGAGATAGGAGTATGGGTATTGGGGGAAAAGTCCAGCCTAATCCTGTGCTTCTCCTTTAGGCCTGAAGGTACAGAGACACACAGCTGCATGGGGAAATTCAGGAACTGGTGTCTGAACTGTGTGGTAAGTGAAAGCTGGTGGTTTTGTCAACTTTAGTGCTCAGAGGAGATGCTAAGAGCAGAGAGGTAGAGCTTGTCATGACACCTCTGGAGGCCAGAGAAGTGTCCTGAGGGTTCAGGCTTGTGCTCCTTGGTGTTTCCCATGTATGAGCTATGGGGGGTGAGAGCTGCTGGTCCTGCTGTGTTCCTGGAAGAGGAAGCTGTCTTGAGATCCAACAAACTGAATTTTCCTTTGACTGTATTGAGACCAAAGCTGACATTTTAAAATGAAAATTCAGGATTTTAAATGCTAGCTACTGTGCTGTGCAGTTTTTTTAAATGCTCTGTGAAACCAGTTTGGGGTTTGCCAGTGCTACAGTGGGAATGGAGGCACTGATACCTCAGTCCACTGTTTCTTGCAAAGATGGTAGCGTGCAGCCTTGCCTCTTTTTAGATCTTCCTGCTTACCCTGTTTCTGTCACGACAGAATCCTGCT